AATGAACTCATCAGAAGTTAACCTTTTGTGCATTTTTACAGCAAATGGGAGAAGGCAAATTGGACACAGTAGCAGGATCGGCCCATTCACTTACATTGCATTCAGGCATCATTGAGCTGGTCTTTCCCAAACGTAAGTCAGTCTTTTTGGGAAGTTGGACAATTGGCATTACAGTGATCAGTCTGTTTTATTCATTAGATTAGATTTGTTATGTCAGCTAAATCACTAAAATGAATAATTGTCCGTGAATCAATTTAAAGCCACATTACCTGATTTTCAACCCACGAAACAGGAAATCTAACTTATTCCTGTAGCTCTCACAAACTCTTTGGCATATCGTTAATATTAATTAATTTTACGGCATTTTACTTTTACAATCTACTTTACAGAGCGAAAAACGAAATTCACTCAATTATAGAATACAGTTGGGTACCCCAGGTTTAAGATGGCTGCTAAATACATTTACAAAGATCTGCATTTCTGATGTTTGTTTTTGCAAGAATAATATTAGCTACTTTTTCACTGAGCTGTTTTGCGAGGGATTGCCACAAGTGATTATAACTTTATCACAACCAGGTATAGGCCTAGTGGATAGAGTGAGCTATAGGGCTATGGCAAATTAGCCAGGTTTAGGTCAGGAATCAGAATACACTAGACAGTTTGCAAGAACCCCGGGAGTTGTAGACTGTGCACCGCCCAATCAGCGAAGAGCTTGAAGCCATGACTGGGTCCCTTTTTGTGATACAGCACAACAGTAAACAAAGCGGTCGAGATGGATGTAGATGAAGCCATACATTCTGTATTGGCTATGATTCCCGAGATAGAGGATTTAAATCCGTAACAAAGAGAATGTTTGGTGAATTTTATCAAGGGGAAAGACGTTATTGCTCTTCTTCCTACGGGATTTGGGAAAAGCTTAATATACCAGTTAGCCCCTTTAGCGGCACATTACATAACCATTGCGATTGGTTAAATAAAAAAGTACCTGCCTACTGTCGAGCGAACGAATCATAATGCTGCGAGGTCAGACGGTTTCCACAAACTCAAACCAGCTGATGAATCAGGCTAATCACATAGCACATAGGTCTACAAACAAAGTAATCATCATCAATAATCTCCAATAATCATTAAATGTAGTAGTCTTCTGGTCGGCTCAATCCACAATATTGATAATTTAATGCTGCCTTCTCTAATTAACTAACTAACTAACTAACTTACTAACTAACTAACTAATTCACTCAATAATGATTTTTTGAAGAGTCCATGAATGCACCATTAAACGCACGATTCACCTGATTGTGGATGCAAAAGCAGGTCCTCTTACTACAGCCTGTTGCTACGGTAACCGTCTCCAAATGGCTGTGACAGACAAATCAGGCTTATCTTCTTTCTGTGACAATGTGATGTGAAAAGTGTAGCAAATTAATACCCCACGCCTCTCACGCAGTTATACAAAATAGCAGTTTCAACTCTAAGGTATGAGCATAGCTTTTCAGTTTATTTGTCAGTTTAAGTTTGTGCTAACTTTACTGGCAATGGCTATTAGCATGCGGCCAGGAAGTTGTCTGGAGAGGTTTAGCTAATCACACAAGCAGACGTGGATGCCAAGACTCATTTGAATGGCTCTTAAGACAGTCATTTTGCTGATTAGTGCAGCGAGTTGTCTCTGTGCTACAAAACACATAATAACCACACAGGGAACACATGCGGTCAAAACACTGCCAATGCAAACCGTGTATGGACTGCATATGAGCGCTGAGGCATGTTGTGGAAGATGAATGTCTCTGCCCATCAGTGTCTTCAGAGCAGAGCGCCTCTTTGACTTTAAGAGTTCTATTGATTTAATCATCATTTCAGCTTCATATTAAAGGTGCTCTATATATAACATTTCTAGTGAAGGATCCTCCATGCACGTGCTTGTGACCGTGGATAACCAACTATTACTTTGCTGAGAATGTTCCACAGCAAACATATTCATTATTTATTCAAGTTACAGGTCAGACCTACAAGGAGCCGAGTCTGTTCACAGTAAGAATGCATGTTTTCAAGGATTTTTAAAGTAAAAAAAACAACACAGAATTTAATAAATCAAAAAAAAAAAAAAAAAAAAAACTTTAATAATACTGTTGACCATTTCAGACTAAGCAGTAACATTTCCATGAAGATATACAAAAATAAACATTTTCAAGTCATTGAAAATAAACATTAAAAGTTTATAAAAGTTTATAAAAGTTTAAAATATACCACTTCACAATAGATTGAGTTGTATAGCCATTATTCAAAACAATCATAAAAATGTGCATATTTAATTTACCTATAGGCCACAGATTTGTATTATTTAAATACACGGACATTTTCACACCATGCTCGGCTAATTCATCCACTGAAAGCCAAGCACCGAGCATCCAGGTGACATTCTGCTTTAATGAGCTTATCAAAGTTGCTGCAAAAATAAGTCAATTGCATTTATTAACGTCCATTTTCATTACCCCACATTTCAGCGCCCCCTGCTTTTCATTTACTCCCATTAGACGTTTTTGCCCGATGAATAACAACAGAATTTTAAATGATTTGCTAACAAGGCCAGTCGCGTGCATTACTTTACTTAATTAAAGCTTAAATTTCTAGTTTTAATTTATTGCAGGCAAATATAGTCACAAACATACAGGCGGTTTTAGGTAGGTGGTGTAAAAGCTTTGACCTATGGGATAATGGGGACAGTTCAGACTTAATGACGCCAAATTAACTGCAGCTCATGAGCAGCCATTGTAGATAGGCTACCTGTTAAAAAATACACATCATCTATTAGCTTTAGCTGTTTGCATTTGCGGTGTCTAGCAGTGTAACCCTATAAAAGCTATCGATTTGTCCACATGGGTTATTTTATAAGGTAGTAAATGTGTTTTCTTTCACCACTTTAATAATGCGTTTACATGTGCTGGACTCTGTTCTTGAACCCTCCTGCACTCCTAGGTACATTTTTATACATCTCCACTTTTCTTTCTGCATAACTTTGGCTATATTGCACCAAATAGCACCAAAATTGACCTTTTTGTGTATTTTGTGATGTGTTTTTAATTTCGGCCTTTTCTTTCAAGACCACATTAATTGAAAAGTCTATAATCAAAATTGTCACACCCGTGGTCCTTTGGTACATTTTTGTCTCATTGACTTCCATTCAAAATGCCTTTTTTACCAGCATAACTTTGCCATTATATTTTTACTTTTTGAGGTATTTTTTATTCTTTGGTGTTGAAATCCCTTTACATATATATATATATATATATAAAAAAAAAAAAAATGTGTTTCTCACCTTCCACGGTGGTAGGTCTCTCTCACCCTCATTGAGCTCGGGTCCTCTACCAGAGGCCTGGGAGCTATATATATATATATATATATATATATATATATATATATATATATATATATATATATATATATATATATATATTCTTTTTACTGTGTATCTTCCATTACAAGGTTATATCATTTGAAAGACATTTGTACATATGAGTCCAGATTGCAGCCCAGAGACGTAGATATTTGAGATTAAAATGATATGGGTGTGTTCTATAGGAGCCCCCCGCCTCTGAATAATCCCAACACAAACAAATTAAAATTCCTTGAAAGACATAGAAATTATTTTTTTCATGCACATAAACAATGTCAAAAATGGCATTTAAGGGGTTACAATTTCAAAATATTATTTATATTTTAGGATGTATGATTAGGGCAGAAGTAAATGAAGATACTGATATAAAAAAGTACATTTTTGTCACGAAGGACCACAGGTGTGATTATATTAAAGGGGTGCGTGAGAGTTAAGTTTCACATTGGTAACTATAAAAACAGCCTAATATTCTTCTATCTATTTATATTTGCGTAAAGCTTTACCAAAGACAGCTCTGCCCTGATAAAAACCCTTTAGTGGAAGCATTTTTTAATTTTTAATTTTTTAATTTAATTTCATTCAAAGGGTATAAAAAGACATCGAGAGTGTCACAACATCAGACATACAAGAAATGAATGAAAAGGAGCAGAAAGAAGAGAAACTTTTATGTTTTATGTTATCTGCCCCCCCTTTCCCTTTCAAGACAATACATCAACACCGATGGTTACTAAACATTCCAAATTAGTTCAGGCACAATTACTGATCAATTGCAAACTTACTTAACTATACAAATTATACTGCTATACTAACTAAACTATAGACATCTTTAGAGATTTTGTTTTGTGGCAAACATAAATTGAGTATTATTTTTATCACAGCCATGGTTAAAGTGCACTAAATACAAAACTTTTCTGAAATTGTGTGCAGGTTTTGTAATTGCATTTGGCAGTCCTTTTTGTGTGATTTGAGAGCAAATTAGGTACATTTGCAGCTTTCTGGTCAAAAACAGTCAAGTACGTTGGAGTCTCTCCAATTTCAAGTGCTATGAGACATCCCACTGTACTGCCAGAACTGAAGCTGGGTGTTTCTGATTACAAACACCAGGATGTACGAGGTTTTCAGTTTTTATACAATCACACTGGTCCTTATACGACCCCAGCCCTCGTCTACCCTCACTCTCTCATTTAGTTTACCATTTGTGGAAGGAGAGGGTATTGATACTTTGCAGTGACATCGTGCTGGGGGTGTTTTGCATGTATGTGTAGCCAAAAAAGAAGTGAGAATGTCTGAAAACTAAAAATACAAAATGGATTTAAGCAACACGTTTCAGGAGCTTGTGATCAATACAAGCTTTTGGTCTTGTTTGATTTCAACAAAAAGGTGAGAGTGACAAGCTGAGAAACTGTTGGTGAATGGTAGCAGCTGTAGCTTGTGTAATGCTATTTGTAGTTCCAACTATATCAGTTCCTTATGGTCAGATTGTGTTGAAACAAAACTCAGATTAACTAAATGTTGATGAGATCAGTTGCAAAGTCTCAATAGGGGTTTAAACATTAATATAACTCAATCTTAAAGTGAATGAGAGAGACTTAAATGAATGCCTTTAATGGTTCGAGGTTCTCTGTCACTTATTGGACTGAGACTCAGAACGGACATTTCTTCGCACCAAAATCCTCTTCATTAATTCAGCCTGACTGTAATACCTGGCCAGCTCCAACCGAGACAAACTGTTAAACTGCAGGAAAAAGATCATAGATTCATGAATTAGTATATAAAATTACACTTACTTTTTATGTTTTACATCTGTTGCCTTCATAAAACTTGTAATAAAGCGGGATTTTAAAAGAAATTGTTAATCTCATAGTCATAGTTAACCACATGAACCTCAAATTTGTGTTCTACTAAATAGAACAGTAACTGAGTGCTTTTCTGCATCCGACAAACCAGGATTGTACACTCAAAGAAATAAAATTGTCAAATTGTTTTGATCTAAAGCAAAGCAAGATGATCTATTTCAAATATTTAACATCAACTATTATTTGAAAAAAGGGTACATAATATATTTAAAAAGTGTTCATCAAAAAGATAGCTTAGATTAATTAGATTAATAAAATGACTTTGGACTTACTCTGTCTTCCAGCACAGCATTGATCACAGTTGGGTTGTCGATTTTGATCTCCCTCTGGACGCTTTTCCACTGCTGGTCTTTGAACAGAGAGAGGGCTGTGGGGGCCTCCATCACAGAAGAGCTGCTCTCAACTTCCATCTGTGCCGACTGGGAAGGAGTGGTCTGAAATGACAATCAAAGTCATTCATCTTTTACCACCAAATGCAACAAGAAAAAGTAATTATAGGGTGTGTTAGTTTCTTTGTAGTGAGCTCCTCCCTTCAGTCAGGTACAAGGCTGTGATTTGAACCTTGTCACAACTCAAGGAGCTACTTGGATGAGAAGCAACATAATTCGTAATAATACATTTTCTTGTTGTGATACTTATGCTATAAAATCATGCCTTTCATCCACCTTCCATTAAATAAGTCTGTAAATGAATGTTTGAAGATGGCAGATTTGTGCATCAATTGATTTCTGTGTATCCTGAAAATAGTTGGGCCGTACTAACCTAATGTACTCTATTTTATACAACTGTCCACATGTCAATCGTTCAAAAAGTGTATTTATACTTTTGTTATTCCTGCCTCCTAGATTTTTGCCTGAGTGTGGACTGAGTGAGATCCACTGGGGGCACTGTCCTGATGGTGAGACGTTTTCAGTTTTTTAACCATTCTGACCTCATCCTCGTGAGGCATACAGTTCTTCTGCAGAAGGAAGACCACAGATTCATGCATAAATATTGTGCATATAAATAGACAAACAGATGCATGGCCTACTTTTAACTATTTTGGTCCGAGTTTAACAATATGTTTAATATACTACTAATACTTTTATAAAAAAATATACGCTGGAAACTCTAATATGCTGTAATATTCTACACTGGAGTGAAAGTGGGGCAGGTTGTAAAGAGTGTTGAGTCTTTGGTTGTATCTCTGGGCAAGGCACTTCACCCACTTTGCCTGAATGAGTGTGTAAGTGGATATGTTTGTGTACCAACTGGACATATTAAGAAATCAAACTGAACAAACGGAGCTACAATGGTTGTCGGATAAGGAATGACTGCCCCACTGAAACTGGAGAGTGCTGCTGAGGTACATTTTTAGTCAACCAATGTAATAATTTTAATAATCTACTACTACTTTGATTACTCTTTACCTGCTTGTGGCCTGGCTGTCTGTTTGTCTCCTGCTCTTCAACACAGGAGGCCCTATCCAGACCAAGTCCTCGCCTTAGTTTTGGTTCCAGTCTGACTCTATCCTCCAGAGACATACATTTCCACTGCAGGAAGAGGACATCAGATTCATGCAAAAATCAAATAATAATTCAAAGATATATAGGCCCTGTAAGTCAAATAATATGTTATCTCTATTTCATATATTTTTTTTGTTGATAGGCTCTCAACAGGACTTAAATTTGTATCTAGAAGAAAAATGAACCAATGGAAATTTAATGAAACCAAATATTAAAACTTGGTAAGCTGTCATTTTCAGTTGAGTCCCTGACTCTTCCACATATATTTACATGGTGTCTGCAGGTATCCATGTCCTAAACCCAGTTGCTTGGACCTACCAACTCCTCCAACAAAGCTATTTTCCAGTTTCTACTTCTTGCTGTTCCTCCTGAGAAATACAGCTCCCCTGCAGAAAGAAAACATAGATTTATACATGAATCCTCAACATTCAACAATAAGAAACAGGGCCTTTTTTCTAATTAAGTAAACAAAATGATCTCTATTTCAGTTTTTAACAGAATCCTTTTAACTGCATGTGCCATTGTTGCATGCAAAGGATTTATATTTGGGTCTGAAGCTATTAAAGTGCAAAAGTGAAATGAAAACATGAACAAATTGAAAATGAATGGGACCAAATATTTAAAAAATTAAAGTTATATTTTTAAAATTCCTTCTCTCTCCTAAATAGATGTCTACAGGCATCTAGTATAATAATAATAATTGCAACTAATATAGTCAACATTTCCTGGGGGTGTGATGCTGAAAGCACAGCTCTGTTAAGAGCTCTGTTACTCATGTTAGACTCAGGCCCCGTCCACACAAGTACGTATTAGAGTTGTTTTCATTGCTTATGCAGTGTTCGTCCACACTAATCTGTTTGAAAATGGCTCCAGAGACGGAATGATCTGGTGCCGCCAGTTTCCACAAATTCATCTGAGTATGGATCTGCTCTGGCACTGTGTGGACGCCTGAAAACTCTGGTATGCTGATGTAGGTCTATGCTCCGTGACGTAATTCACTGCCAAAACGCTAATAGACCAGAATATATGTCCATTCATATATAGGTGACCTGCAGACGTATAATCTCTGAAAAGTTTAACATGAACCATCTCCAAGATGATAGAAACACAGAACAGACTCAACATTAGCAGAACACCTCTCTGTCACAGAAAGAACACTCATATTCCACTGAGTCGTGTCCTTTAGTCCAGCAGAAGCTGAACCACATCAGCGCACAATAATGAGCTGTTTTTTGAATGCTTAGTTTATGCTAATTAGCCATGCGATTTTAAGTTTTGTTTCTGTAAAACGTAAACAAATATGCTCAAAGATGTGTGGATAGGGAAGGCTTGCGGACACAGAAACGACGTGTCTGGACGCAGATCGTTTCCGATACACTGATACGGTGATTTGTTTCAGTGTAAACGTAACCTCAAACTGACCAGAGAGAAGTGACATCCTGTAGCTAGAAGAGAACAGGGGAGCTGATTTGTGCTGTTAAACAAATTCATCTCAACTAACAATACAGACACAACAACTATAGCATAAGCCAACCGTTTTTTAGTTTGTCACTCTCACCGTTTTTGCTGAAAACCAAACACCTAAACAGGACCATAAATTCGTATTGATCACAGGCTCCTGTTGTATTTTTTCTTGAGTTTTCCCAGTATCTTTACTCTGACTTGCTAATGTGTGCATTGTGTCACCATGGTAACATTCCACCATAGAGAGAGACATGTAGAACACCCCCAGCGTGATGTTACTCCAAAGTATCTACACACAAACTGGGAATTTACAGAAACCTAGAAAATATTACTTAAATCTATACTAGTTCTGTCCTAAACCCAGTTGCTTGGACCTACCGTTTCCTCAACAACATCTCTAGAGAGCTGCATGGGTCTTTGATGATGTCTAGTATTCTGAGGCTGCAGGTTGTGGGGCTGCTTGACCACTGGCTGAGAAGATGCAATAGTTTCATTCTGTGGAGTGGCAGAAGCTGGAGGTTCCACTGTAGATACTGTAAGGCTCCTCAGGTGCTCTTCATTTAAAGCATAGTCATTGAACTCCAGCACACCGTCCCCACTGCCCACTGAAAACCCTTGGCTTTCAGAGGTGGTGACTGAGTCACTGTTATCCTCCTCAAAATAAGCATCCATTTCAAAGTCAGAATAAATTTGCACTCCTCCTCCAGGGCCCTGTTGGAAAAAAAGTAAGAATGAAAGTCACCTATTACTCTAACTACTATTCAGGCTAATTTCAACTATGAAGTCTTGGAAATCACTTACCAGTGTAAAAAATACTACTACTTTAACTAGTGAATTCTCCATTCAAAATGCTATGATTTACCTTAATATAACCAATTCTCTCTTACTGTAACAGAGGTGGCACTTGTTTCTATTTTGAATAATTTGTTGTTTTGTTTTAAATTATCTGTGTTATTTTCAACTCTCTAGTTTCCTGGACAACACAGCTCATTACTTTTGGTATCTGGCAATTGGTAACCGGGACATTTTTCATTTCTGACTTGAAAAAAGTTCCCTGAAAAGCCACTCATACTGTCTGGTAATTACAATTTGTGGACTGAAATGATCATAGCACTCCCTCTTTAGATACAACTGACACCTGATATTCAGCGATATTCTGTAATTTTATAGGTTCCAGACATTCATTCATTGTTTGTCTGTGTTGTGAGATGTGTGTTTAAAAAACTCCTATGTGCATAGAGCAGTGTGAGCCGTGAGCGTGAGTGAATGACTGCGTGCGTGTCCCTGGTGCACTCGCTTTTGAATGAGCCCGTGGAGCATACAGGTGTCAGGTATCTGGTGAAGTACATGAGAGTACGGCGGCTGGGGGGAGTTAGGGACCTAGTGGACCTGCGTGAAGTTGACCCCATCAAACTCAAACCTACACAAATCTATGTCAACTGTTTGTGCTCCGTTTGTGCTGCAAAAAGTTTTGTTTGTGCTATTGTGGTTTTTAACAGTTACCAGATTTATTTTCGGCTGATGGCCTCATCCAGCCTTTCAAAATGTTGAATAGCCTCAAAACAGGCAGGAAATTATACGAAACATTTAAATTTCGTTTGTGCTGTTTTGTGCTGTGACAATTTCAAAAACTAGTATATTTCTAAAATTATTAATTATTATTTTGGCAGAAATTATATGACGTCTTTTACGCTCAGCTGACGGCAGCAGCTCTGCAAACTAGTGAAGAAAAACAATCTCAGGCTGTGAAGAAGTATGTATAGTATATACGATACTAACACAAAATAACTTTTTGTAGTGCAAAACAGCACAAATGGAGCACAAATGATAGACAGTTTTTATGTAGGTGTGTGTAAGATGGGCTTCTTATTTATGTGCATCACGGGAAATAAAGCCATCAAACTCTTTAGAAACAAACGAGTGGTTATTGGGCTCAACAACTCTGAGGTTCAGAATAGGAAGTTAAACCCCAGGGGACGAGCGGCTGCTGCAACCCTCTGGCCCTGGAGAAGGCTGTGTCCTCTGACCACGGTCCTGCATTTTTTATCTAGCCTTCAGGTTAGAATTAGCCATATTGTTGAAATATACAAGTTATTTCAGCTGGAATGCTCTGAACTTGTAATGTTCAACTGGAAAATATTTGACCTCGCAGCATTTGCTTCTGTCCCCAGTTGGTGTAACACAAGCAATGGCACTGTTAAGTTAACCTTAGCAGTGTGGGTGTTTTTTTTATACAATTTGTTTCAGTTTTTTTTTTTTTTTTTTTTACTTAGGACTCGTATCTGTGAAGTAGGCTGTGATGCTGTGTGTTGTATCATGTGGTGATGTGTCCAAAGATGATTTTCACCTTATCTAATGTTAATTTGAGTATTATTTAGATTTATCTTATTTAATCCAATCAAATGACTTTTTACGTGTAGGCTAAATGGTGTAATAATATTAAAAACAGTGTTTAAAGGTTTTCAGTTAATGTCATGACTGATTTAAAGAAGACATGTTATGCTTTTTTCAGGTATAACAAACTATAATATATGTAGATCATGATTTTAGATTTTGTTGTACAGCTGCACAGTGATCACATTTACAGCATCTTTTAGTAAGTCATTTTAGATTAATATTGTGATTTAAAATGTGCAAATGATCACATAATAGAGCAGTCACAAGCACAATAAGTCTTCTTTCATTTTAAACACAACTCCCTGTAAATAGTGACCAAAACCCCTTCATTAACACCATGCAACTAATGAAATTACTAGAATACAAATAGCTTCTGGCAAAAAAGAGAGTAATCTTATCAACTCAAGCACAACCAGGGACTGGTTGCTGTTTTTTTCAATCAAACGTATTGACCAAGCAGGTAATGTCTTCATGGTTTTCTGCTTGACCTCTACTGCCCTCAGTGCTTATGGGCCGGAGCAGGTTAACCTCCATGTCACTATCTGGCAACATCTGAATCTCACAGATCACAGCCTGGAGTCCACTGATGTCAGTGTTTTGGGACGATCACTTAGTTTTCAGGTAATTGATGACCTATTTGATCAATCAGTGACTCTCCTTTTATGTCTCACTGCAGAAGACTGATGGCACTTCAGCTTCAAGCAATGGGACATGTGCATGTCAGATGTCAGAAATACACATGCACATATCTGGTAAAAATTCCATGTGGAATTTAATAAAACACACACACACACACACACGCACCACAGAGACTATTGTTTTAAAGAATGTAATAATGTAAGTAATAATGTAATAATAATAATATTTACATTAGTAATAGTTTTCAATAATATATACATTAGTAATAATAATAATATTTACATTAGTAACAGTTTTCAATAATATTTACATTAGATCAAGGGTTGTGTGATATACAGGCATTTTCTAGTGGCAGGAGTTCCTCTTCAGTTCTAGCTTTGTTCATTGTATTCACATATTTACTTTGTCTGTATTAGCCCTCATTTAGAACTACTTTTGTCAAGTTGTAGTCCTATTTTAGACTTGTTTCAGCTCAAAGTGGACATGACTTGGTCCTGTTATAGACCTGGTGTAGATTTTTACTTGGTAAGTCCACAGGATTTGTGGTCTTGAGAAAAGATTGAGCACCACTGTTTTAGTGTGACGCCTGCAGAAATATAGTTCTATACTAATTATAAAAATGTGTCAAAATAAAGAAGAAATTAATTATGATAATTCATGAATATTATATAAAGTTGTAACATGTATCTTGGATAATCTTGGATTTGCACATCAACCTGTTGAACCTGTGTCCTTGAGGAGCTTCTTTAAAAGTTTAAATTTAACAGAACTATTCTAAATCTGAAGAAGGACTAGTGTGTTATAGGGTCACAGTTTTCGCATAGTTTCATGTTACTATATTATATTTGTTTTTTGACTCACTGAAGAACACACTAAATGCATTTACCACGTTAATTCATTTAATTTGCTGTCAAAACATTGCTTAAACCTTCCTCTAAAATGTGTCTACTAAATTTCACAAAAAGAAAAACATTTTTGAGAAATTGCAGGTAAATTGTGTGTAATAGTGTGTGTTAGTCTCTTGAAAACATAACTTGTGCTAAATCAACTTCAAGTCAAGTCATGAACAATAAAGTAAAAAACATTTCCACCTTCTGTACTCAGAAACATAAAGATGTGGACGAGTTTTTGAAGGTGTTTTGAAGTAACTGTGTGTGTGGTAGAGAGGCTTGAGAAACAAAGCTGGCAGTTCACTGGCTTGTGAAAAATGAGCCGAGTTTGGGAACCTCTTTAACTTAGAACTTTGGATTGGCCCGTGTCCAGTCTATACACCTTAATACAAAGCTATTTATTTGCTTTTATTAATTATTTACTGGCTGTGATACATTCAGAGACCTAAGCAATTTAATGATATGACAACACCTTATTTTTCATATAGCATCTTGATGAGACACTTTTGAACAAAATATAATAGATTTTTGTAGCAGGCAATCCCCATGACACCACTTTGGGTCCATTATTCTTTTATGTCAAATCAAAAGCAACAGGCCAATAAGTTGAAGAAGCCAATTTGTCTGATTTGTAGCAAGAGTCAATAGAGCCTGCGCTGACAAAGACACAGTAGTAATTATGGCAATGATCTCGCAGTTCTTTCAATGAATATATTTTTGCAACAATAGCTCAAATTTGCTTGCACCTGATTAGGCGTATTAAGACTTTGGGTAATCAAACAAACAACAGACGGATAGAGAAAGAATTAGTTTTAGAGTTAATCCTTTGTCTTGTAATCTGCTGTCACAAGAGGCCAGCAGGTATTTATTTGTTTTTAAAATTAATTCAGCTTTATTTTACTTATTTTATTTTATTCACCAACAAACAGGATTTGCATGTGATTTGAGTTTTAATCAACACTTTGTTCTTCAAAGCTTGCATGGGAACACTGAATAAGTCAATTTCCTTTCAACACTGCAGCTTTGAAGACATGGCATCCATAAAGAACAACATCAATTTTCCTACTAATTAGACTATTTATCTGGGCCTAGTTCAATAGTATGTGGAACCTCTTCGTCTCATGTTTGGTGTATGTGTTTTCTTTAGTGAAACTTATCCAGCTTATCCAGAGTTGGGATTTAAAGAGTTAGAGATAGAAATTACAGTAGAACACCCTTCAATTTTTGTAGTTATTTATTGCAATTCAAGTCGTGCAAGTCCAATGAAGAGCTTGAAATGGTATAAAGGTAAGAACTGAACAGCCAGAGGTTAAAAAAAAACAAAACAAAAAAAAACAAAACATAAAAGATAACAAAACACAAGTCCAAGCTTTGCCAAAACTACCTCAGGAAAAAAGATCAAGATGGTGAGCTTTAAAACATGGAGTGTCCAGCACAGTCTCCAGACTTAAACCCCATCGAGCTGGTTTTGAATGAATTGGACAGAAGAGTGAAAACCAAGCAACATACAAGTGCTACACATTTATGGGAATTTTATTTGAAAACTACAGCCATTACAACAAATAGGAACCAAACAACATACAAGGCACAAGACGGACATTTACGATTATGAAGATTACATACAAATAGAGACAAAGGTGACAGGGGCTGGTGAATGTGTGCACCTTATGTGTGTGTGTGTTTGCGTGTGTGTGTGTGTGCGTGTGTGTCGTGTGCGTGTGTGTGTGTGTGTGGGTGGGTGCGTGTGTGTGTGTTTATGGGAACTTCTGCAACAGATATGGGAAGAACTTTCTGAAGAATATTTGATTTGTATTGTAAAAAGAATGTCACATATCTGCCAAAGGTGGCTAATTTCTTGAATGAAAAGTTTAGAATATGTTTTAGTTAACTCTAAACGTGTACTAAAACACACATTAAAAAGTGTGGTGTTGTAAAACCTTTGATCGTTAGAGTACTTCCAACCAATTTGTCTTAAAGTTGTAACTTTTCTGGTGGAGGGCCCATCAAATGCTTTTCTCCATGGTTCTCCATGTTAATGTTTTGTCTGGAATGTTTCAGAGTATGACATTAAACATTTCTATCTTCATGGAGACCAAACCAGACCAAGATACAGGTCAGATCTGTGGAAAGGCAACCCCGCTCACAGTCAGATTGCCTGTTGTTGTTGTTGTTGTTGGTTTTTTTTTGTTTTTGTTTTTTGTGTATTTTGAGTTGTAATTGAATAAATGTAAGGTAGAGCTGTTTATTGTCATACTGTGGAACATTCCAGGCACAGCAATGGCCTATACATAGAAACAAGCAGGTGACGGACCCTCCACCAGAAAAGTTACACAATGCACCTTTAACAGCGTCATAGGTTTGTGCAGGTTTGGAGGTGAAGGATGGAAAAAGAAGATGGAGAGAGAGAAAGGGAGCACCGAGGTAGAAATAGAGACAGAGAAAGGTAAAAGATAGATAGAGGGAAAAATAAGAGAGAGCGGGAAAGAGAGATAGAGAGAGGGGAAAACTTTAGAGAGACTTCGATAAAGACTGAACTGAAAACACACTTTATGTAGTGAGAGATGGGGGCGGTGGTAGAAAAAGAGAGAGACAGCGAGATAGAGAACACAAAACTATGACAGACATAAAGAAAGACAAAACTAGATAGATAGAGGGGGAAAAGTCAAATAGTGAGAGACAGGGAGAGAGAAAAAGAAAGAAAGAAAGAAAGAAAAAGAAGGTGTATTGACAGCGGAAAAAACATGTTGTGCGAGACAGAAAGAGAGGGATGATGGGGGAAGGAGGGAGGGAGAGGAAGTGTGGTGACTTGTGTTGAAATAAGAAGAAGTCTGCAGAGCTTTCATCTGGAAAATGGAATAAACGGAGCGCATCATATGAGCCCAGAGAGGCCTGATAAAAGGTAACAGACAGGAACATGCTCACGCACACAGGTCAATCAAAACTGCTCATGGAAAGTGTTTATGTTAAAGCCGACATCAAGATATGACAGAGATGTTAGACTGGATAATACAACGAAAACGTGAAGAAAACAGGTGTGCATCGCTTGGGTGGTAGATTAAGCAGTAAGCAAGTTGACAATCGAACCAGCTATTGTTGTGCCTTTGAGCAGCACACCCAGAACTCAAATTGCCTCCAACAGTCACAGTATGTTGACAGTTGCACTTGTAGGGAATCTGGTTTAAAATTTTGAGTTCGATGATCGAGCCTGTAAGGTTAAGTTAACTAATTACAGAAGGAAAATGTGACATTTTTTGTGCTTATATGTCTTAAGTTTGAGCGTGTGTTGATGCTGTTAAGGTTTTGGTTTTTTAATTTATTTTAAAACGTTACCTTGGGTGGCAGTAGCTGTGTGGGTATAGATCGGCGGTTCATGTCTCCCTTCCTGCGTAAACATCGTTGGTAGAGTGGTAGACTGACCCACAGGTTGGCAGTGCGAGTACAGCTCCCGCAGATGAATGTTGTCGTCGTGTCCTTCGGCAAGACACTTAACCCACTACCCCTTGAGTGTTTGCGTACACTGTGGGGTATGAGTGTGTGTGTGAAAGGGTGAGTGGTTCCTTGATGTAAAGTGCTTTGAGTGTCTTGAAAATGTGACCATTTACCATTAGATTTTTTTTGGTATGTCTGTAAAATTAAAAAGAATACAAATGGAAATGTGTCCTCTGTATATCTTTCAATACTGCTTTGATTAAACTTGTCAGGAGTAGTTGAGCACACAGAAACTCATCTCCAAATCATGAGCGATGTTAGGTCAGGACTAAAGATCGGTTGGCTGATATATCGAGCCAATCTTTTGACTCAGTAGCAAATTGGCTACTGGCCTTAAATCTCTAGCATAGCCTCCTGAGACCTGGCCTATTCATTTGTGTCCTCTATAGTGGACATTGAATTAACCATTTTATCATTTAAGTGTTTTGAGATAGACTCTTAATGGGAGGGACAAGGTTCCTCTGCCTGTTTATGTCAAGAATAAAAAAACAAAACAAAAAACTGAACAGGGTTAGTTTGTGGCTGCACTATGATAAAAAAAAAAAAAAGAAGAACATTAAAATTATAAGAAAATAAAAAAAGAAATTAAAAGGGAGTATAAAATTTTTTTTGAGGCGACTGTAGAAGCTCGTCAGAGATGTTGGTCATCAAAAAAGTTGTTTTTGTTTAGGTTGTTAACTTCACATGGATTTAACACCTGCGTCCATTGCAAAGGACATGTTAAAAAATGATAAATCAAAATAAAATTAACAAAATCTAAACGCTAAGCTGTTCATTTACCACTAAATAGATAGAAAATCACAAAAAATATATATTGCAATATACTTTTTTCTTCAGGTCCCAGGAGGATATGCTGATATTTTGTTTTGGTCAATTTGCTGCTTAAAAAATACACACAAAGCTTTATGATAACACTTTAATTGGAATAGCTGCACAAAATGTGACTACACCGTTTTCGCAAATGTTTATAGTAAAAAAGGCCTGTGGGTGAGTTTGTAGTCCTATTTAAATGACATAATTTGGGAAAAAAATAATCGAAATCTGCCCTACATATATGTCAAAAATATCAACAAAGATAATCAGCCAGGGGTTGCTCTGTATTAAAAAAAATTGGTATCAGCATCGGCCATGAAAAAAAAAAACCTAAAACATATTGGTTTGATCTAGTCAGAAAATAGCTGAATATATGCTGTACGTATGTTTGAGGTTGCTGGGAAACATTACTAATACTTTGCCATTGCCCCATCCTTCATTTATTATGTTTTATCATATGACTAAATAAAGAATATTCAACATGAAGTGAGACTGCACATAAAAACTTGAGACACCAGACAAAGATGGATAGAAAACCAGTGTTGCGTAGTAGGACATGAGCAAAACAACATGTAAGAATGTGTAAGAAAGCCCACATTAAGTGTAAAGCAGGTTGGCAGGCTGCGACGGAGGGCTGGCTGCTTTGTGCGAGAGTGAAACATTTTGTATGCCAAAGAGCTGGTGTAATAGCAGCGAGCCGTCTCTCCCCTGACAGTGCTGGGGACCCTCGGCTGCACATGCAACATTTAAATGAAGCTATTAAAATTTAAAGTGTCTCTATTCCAATGACAGACTCTCCGCCATGCGCCCAGCGAGCCAGAGGTAAATGGGACATAAACATGGCGCCTCTGAAGTTAAATTTGTTTTTTAGTCAGATGAAGCTCAGCATATTGGACACCTGTTGGTTCGTTTCAATCAATTTAAAGTCGGGCACTGGCGGCTGAATTTTAAATTTTAAAATGTATAAGGTGTCATTGTGGTTTCACTTGGGGCAAAGCTGCAGTGTTCAGGTACCTAATCTTATTCTTATTTCACCTTTGTATCTATCACCTTTGTGTGTGTATTGTGATCTTGTTTCTTCTTTCTTCATTCTGCACTTGGCCCTGAATTCTCCTTTCTCTGAACCAATATCAGCTCTCATGAGGAACCACTGACCAATTGAGAAGTACTGAGCCACAGAGCACCTTTGAAGTATTTAATGTAGTATTATTGTATATAATCCCAGGATTTCAAAATGGAAATGAACCAACATAAGATATTTTTGGTCTGTATTGTTAAGAGAGCTATAATGTGAAATGGAGAGAGAAGCCAGTTGAGACATTCAGCAAAAGGTACAACACAAGACACATGCATTTTAGTTTTTGTAAACCTGTTCATTTTTGAAAACCTTGAATGTGAACACACTGATCACTCCAATCCCTATAGGCTCTGTTCACGTTTACACCACAAACCAGGAAGATGTTTGGAAAGACACAGTTACAACTTCAGGAGTAGTTACCGACAATGGGCTCGCCTAACATGGATCTATTAAAATCGACTGTGATAAACCCATCAGCGATAAAACTTGAATTTGGTGCCCTTATCTCTTCTAAACGGATGTACCCAGTGCACTCAGAGTTCTGCATCAGTGACAAAATTATGAAAACTGAAGTATGGTTGTAATTGTTGATTAACCGAAACACTCCAGAATGCTACAGTGACATTTAGATGAACAAAACTGGGCCTGGGATGTTGTACTCGCATCTTCCCAAATGCCTTCCTTGTTTGGGACGTAAGCGTGAATAAAGCCTATTCAGAAACATGTACCTACACACTGGAAAAATGTTCATAAGTAGATGTACCAGACTTAGGGCAAGAATATTATTTCTATTTATATTAAGTCCAGATTGTTCTGACTTGAACTTCTTGAAAGAAATATAATATGCAACAGATTGGAAATGATCTAACTACATCTGAAAACCTAATGAATGCATTTTGTACTTTTATTGTGCCCAAATATATTTTCAGCCAAATGCAGACTCATTATTATCATTATTGGTACATCTAAGAACAATACGATTTCTAAGCAGTGCTGCTCAGAACAGAATAGATTTTCAGAAGTCGAGTTTTTGGCAGTTGCTTCTGTTACCTCTTTCTCTTTTTGTGTTTGTCTTTTGTGTTTAATCAATGCAGTGTTAATGCCAGAATGTGCTCACAGCGCTGCATACTAATCATTACTTACCTTTTTGATAATTCTCTCACATTTTATTCTATTCTTGTTTGCATTTGTTTGGGCAAGATTATTCCTGCTCTGCTTTTTGTGTGATAAATGAAAAGCAGCTTATGCATATTCAAACTTCACATCAGTACACACAAGGATGACACGGGGGACTTGTATTTCACCTTAAATCTTTATTAGGCGTTTCTCTTATAGTTTAGCAAAGCAAACATCAAACTATGAAGGCATCTTTTCATAGAACTGTCATTTATCCGATCTTTACTATGGCACCACTCAAAATAATATAGGAATCATACCAACGTTGAAAAGAAAAGGATTCAAATTCAGGAAAAAGAAACCATTAACAGTAGGTATTAGCCATTATGAGTAAAATTACAAATCATCAGCATGTATCTAAGATTTCATACTTGGACCAACGCCCTTGATAAGAAATAAGGCAGATTCCTTTTGTAGAGACAATCTGTTTGAAGAAAAAAGCAAAAAGCAAAGAAATTCATGTATATGTTGAAGTGAAAGCAAGTTTCTGGCATGCACTGGCCCAATGATGGATGAAGGAAGAGGTTTAGTTGCAATGATGGTGGGAACTATTCAGGTTTGAGAATGGAGTACAATAGTTAAAGTTAAAATAGTTGAATCAGAGCCATATTGTAGGATTAGGGTCAGGAGTTAAATCACGGTAAAATGTATTTGAAGTTGAGAAAACCCAATTATCACCTCAATCAAATACTACTTTATTTAATTTTTTTTCCCCCGATTAGCTAGTTTGTTTTTAATTATTTTGACCTAAGTATTGGCTTCCAATACTGAATAAAAAAATATTTAATATATTTATGTGTTAAAGATGCACGTTTTTTTAAGAGAGAGTGGTACTTTTTTAAAACTCATCTTGTGAAGCTGGTGAATACAGCAGAGGTGGGGCCAAGTTGTCGTTTTACAAGCCCCAAGTAAGTCTCAAGTCTTTGCCCTCAAGTCCGAGTCAAGTCCCAAGTCAAATCCAGGCAAGTCCAAGTCGAGTCTCGAGTCACTAACATCTAAATCCAAGTCAAGTCAAGTCATCTGCTTTGAGCTTCAAGTACCAAATATAGTTTAGATTTTTGCAATTTCTATGAATCTTAAACTAAATTATACTTAAAAATTCATGGTATATTTATATATAAATATTTATAGAGTATATAAGATTTTTCCTTTTTAAATGACAAGATCTTAGAGTGAATCATTACGTTCAGAATAGAAAGAATTCAGATGTAAAAGTGCTTCTCACTTCTTCTCAAGTCGCAGGCATCAAATCCAAGTCAAGTCCCAAGTCACTGACCTTCAAGTACGAGTCGAGTCCCAAGTCTTAGTCCATTTCATCAAGTCAGTCTCAAGTCCTAAAATTAGTGACAAGTCTGACTCAAGTCAAAGTCACGACTTGCAAGCCCCCACCTCTGCTGTGATATAGTAATCTTACTTAAAACCATATGCTTCCAAAACAATTCAACATTGTAAGTATTTTTAGAACATTTTTAGATCTACTTTTAGTATTATTTGCAAATTTCAGGATCACTTAAATGCATCAAAGTGCAGTAGACCAGCTGGATTAGTATTCTGACTGTTGATTATAATTTATTGTTTAGTTATTTAAAGATGCATTATGTAACTTTTCTGGCTGAGGATCCAAAACTTATCTAAAATGTTTCACAGTATGGTATTTAACTTTTCTATCTAGACAGAGTGAAGCAAGTGACACCACCAGGCTAATTTACAGCTCAGATCTGCAGAAGGGTGAGCTCTTTCAAGGTAAAACACATGTAACTGAAAATATGCTGATATCTGATATAAGATATATCAGTTTAATGCCATTCTGTGAAACATTTCTCGCAAAGCAATAACATCTTCATAGCGACAAGTAACTGGTGCACCCTCCACCAGAATAGCTATAAAGTTAATTCACAGCACGTTCAGGTAGTGACTATAACAGGTGGCATTATTTTTTTTATATTGTCAAAGTTATAAAAACAAAATCTGATGTTGATGTATTGAATTGAAGATGTGAAATCAAAAGGACCTGTTTCTCTCTCTCTCTCAGACACACAGCATATGTTAATGGTGAACGGCTAACACACAGTGAGGTATGGCTCATCGTCTGGTTGATATGTTCAAGTCCTATAGGTTCAGTATGTACATTAATACATAGATACATATACATACATTGTTTTGGGGTGAGTCTAATGTTTGAATAAAGAGAAAAGGCAAATCAAAGTGGGATGTGAGCATGGTGGGTAACTGGTTTTGCTCTAGTCGGTGCCAGAGCTGCCCTGTACACGGGCTCTGGGGGTGCACACAGTTTGCTGGCTGTCAGATGAGGTTGATTGTCTGCCCCTCAGCTGGTCAATCTTTCTTCTCATGGTCAGTGTCTAAAAAGAAGAAAAAACACACAACATATAAAAAATGGGTACCTTCAGACACGAGAAATAATGTGGCCCTTAATAAAGTTGAAACAAGGTGAGAGAAGAATTTAATCCATTAGAATATATCTACACTTTTTACTCGAGGCATTGCAGTTCAATAACCTTAACTCAAATGTGATCCAGAGTTAAATAAAACTGTAATAGCTTTGCACTTTGACCCATCTCTTGGAAGTATTTGTTAATGGAGATATAACACTTCGAGGTATGAGTTGTTATTTCAGGAACTGTCAGTGCAACTTCTAAGAATTTGACAGTCACTGAACCATGTTGTAGAGAGGGCTGTTTGGCTGTTTATCACACTCTGAGTGTCATTATGAAAAATGGAGGAGAATCGACTCAGCTTTATTGAAAGATGGCATCTCCTCTGAATCGTTAATATCTGCATGCCCCAAGAAAGTTTGTAACAACTTTATAATAAGTATATCTTAATTAGTCTGTGTGAAGTGATGAACAAAGACCATATATATACTGAGAGAAGAATGATCCAGGTTTACTAACGATTTAAGGGGTTAGGGTGAGGAGTCAGAGTATTAATTAAGGTCACAGTATATAATTTTTAAGTATAAATAAATAAATAAATAAAAAGATAAAGGCATTTTTTGTTTCTTAAAAAAGGCCTGTTTTAAGACATACTTCCACAGTGCGGCTAAACCATAGACAGGATTAGATAATAGATTGTATATGAATGGACATAGCTAACCATTCCAAATAGGAAGTGAGCACGGGTACGCTTTCGGCTCCATCAACTCTGGCTCCAATTCACTTTCTATTGAAAAACGCCTTTCTTTCCATAACTGCTGCTGTCAGGCCATCATTTTGGTCTTCATGTTCATATTAACCTGCTCTACACCATCTTGGTATTTTTTATTCGCTATTTTATCCGTAAATCACGATAAGAACATTAATAACAGATAAATCAAGTGCCTTCTTTCCCCGAAATTGCGCCTACTAGCATTAACAACAGGTTTGACTGACAGCATTGCGAAGTGCCCACTCCCTGTGAAACCCGCGGTGTGAGCGGGAAGGGGCGTTGCCTTCAACAGCCTCGATCCAGATGGGCGACTTGGAAGTTATGATACTCATGGTCAGAATTCCAAATATGGAACACGGCTCCGAATTAGCCCCGTAACTGTTAGTTTTGATGAGCTTCATTTGACTGGAGCCGGACACTATGGGGAACATCACACTCACTTAGTCCAGTTCTTTATACAGTCTATGCATAAAACACGTCTATCTCCAAAGATATTGTTCTAAAGTGTAGTTTATGGTTTATTTCCATAGAATCATGCAAGTGACATGACACCTCCAAAAAGTTACATACTGTACCTTTACATAACTAATCCAGAATCTGAGTTCAGAAAAAACAATGTGTTCATTATGTGTTTGCTCATGTTTTATCAAGGCTATTAAAACTGTAATAATGACAAAGTTTTAGTCCAGTTATTTTAACAAAGAAGATTTATTTATTTTTCTCCTTCAAAACTACAAACATGGGAAAACAACTTGTAATAATAAAATGAGATAAACACATATTAAAATTGTGTCTTTTTTGATTTGTCTGAGTGGGCAAAGAGAGGCCTGTATTTTTCGCTGATAAAGTGACAAAGAGTTGTGTTAAAAGCTCGTGTGCCTGCGTACAGGGGTGCCCAGTGTGGTTGGTTTTATTCTGCTCTCACAGAACACAGCGTACACACTCCTCCACAGCGTCCCTTTCTGTTGCCTCTTTGTCTGCCATTGTCACAGCTCCCTGCCTTCACCACAAGCCCTTTGTCTCTGCCAACTTATTCATATGCTGCTGGCCTGTCCTATTTATTCAACCCAGGCAATCTGTTCAAAACTTAATGAATTTTTGCTACCTGGGAAATAGCGGATACCCAAATGTGAAAGTCTTTTCTTTAGCTGGCCAGACAGATGTGGGAAGTGTCTCGCTACAAATGAACTCAAATAACAGTATTGTCAATTCAAAATACAGGATTATTCAAGTAGAAAGTAAGTAAGTAAGTAAATAAGTACAATTCTCAATGTTTATGGAAAAGTAAAAACTGAAATCTAAAATCTGATTTACGCTTTAGTACAAATAAGTTAATGTGTCTTTTTCTTACATGAATATTCTAATTGTCTTATTCGAGCCAATTCATAAGTAACTAAACTTACCTACAAACATATCCACAATAGATTATTTAATGCTGCAATTTACACAATTTACCTTTCAGTGTAAATTTTTGCATATTTTGTGTTTTTGTTATTCCTATAAAAACATAATGTGCATCTTATCCATCTGTATGACAAAACTAAATGAAGACTGAGAAATCCAGTCTACTCCAGTTGCCTTCTCTCAAATTACATCCCGTCTTATTACCCCAAATCTCGCTGGAGACCCAGAATAACAACAGCGTGCTATCCTTCGCAAATATGATTTATTGGCATGATTACTTCCCCTACAGTCCGTGTTAAAATAATATGCATTGCCCGCTTGATTTATTAAACGTCTGATGTGGAGAGTTTGCGGGCAATTTATCAAACTCAATCTCCAAAGACGCACACACTGACACATTCATACCAAAAAATCAGGGTCAGAGCTGAGGGGTCCCGGGACGTGACGAGTGGGTTTACAAATGCGTTTGGCCCTGAAGGAGCACAGACTGAGAGAGCCCCAGCTGAGAAAGGCAATAAGACAGGAGTGGATGGTTTTCAGGACAGGGGCGGTAAGGAGGGGGTAAAGGGTGCGTGAGAGAGGGGTGAGGAAGTGAGAGGAGGAGGTGATGGAGGAGGAGAGGAAGTGGGTAACGAAGAGGAAAATAAGGAGTGGAGGGTATTGGGTGAGGAGGGGGTAAGGAGGGAGATAGGAGGAGGTGAGGAGTATAGGTAGGGATGGAGTGAGAAACAGGAAAAGAGGAGGCAATGGGGTAAGAAATGGGTAAAGGGAGAGTGAAGAGGAGGTGAGGAGAAGGTAAGGAGTGAGGAAGGCGATGAGGAAAGGGTGAGAAGGGAGTAAGGAGAGGTGAGAAGGGGGATAAGGAGAGGGTAAAAAGTGAGAAGGTGTTCGGAAGGGGATAAGGAGCGGGTGAGGAGGAAAGGGTAAGGCGCGAAAAGGGGGCAAGGGTAAGGAGGGAGTAAGGGGGGGTGAAGAGTGGGTGAGGAGGCATAAAAATGTCTCTGGGCTCGATAGCACTCAAAGTCTCACCAAGGATCGAAGTGCATTTTAATTCAGCAGCTGCAGTCGCTAATAAGAGCTGGGTTTATAAATAAAGATGGGAGTGATAAGCACTTCCTCTGTGTCCTTACCTTTGGACTGCGAGTTGTCAGTAGCATTCAAATCCGGTTGAGTCTTAACTTCCTCCTTCATATCTGAAAAAGAAAAAGAAGAGGGAAGTTAATGGTTATGTTAAACTTTTTAATCATTAAAAGTGCACTATATAACTTTTTTAGTGGGGGCTGCCACTTGCTTGACTCCATGGGGATTTAGCCTGGTGCCACCTAGTGCCTACGCTCAATTTCATTTCTCTCAAGCGACTAGGTCAAGAAATGGAATACACTAGACAGTTTTCAAGAAGCCCGGAAGTTACAGATCAGTGAAGAGCTGTGAAGCCATAATGTCAAACTAAAGCGCCTGTCGGGGTCCCTATTGTGGTACAGCACAACAGTAAACAAAGGGGTCAAGATGGATGTAGACGAAGCCATACAGTCTGTGTTGGCAACGATTCCTCAGATCGAGGATTTAAAGCCAGAACAAAGAGAATGTTTGGTGAATTTTATCAAGGGGAAAGACGTTATTGTCCTTCTTCCTACAGGATTTGGCGCATTACATATGTAATGACCAAATAGCAGTAATTGGTTAAATAAAAAGTAAAGCTGTGCGGTCAGACGGATTCTACAAAGTGAAACAGGCTGATGAATCAGACTAGGATGTTCCACCATATTGCACTAAACTTATCAAAAGTGAATTTAATCAATGTACAGGTCATTCTGTTGCACCTTGAAAAACATGCTTTCTTATGACTCTCTAAACAGAGCTGATCTATAACTTAGCTTTCCACCCAAACTACTCCACTCCATAATAAAGTTTAATGCCATATTGTGTAACTTTCCAGACAATGCTATAACATCTTTATGGACTCAAGCTGGTGCCTAAGTTACAGTGCAATATTCTTTCTAGTAACATATTTCCCCCATGTAACACCCTGCAGTGTATTTCTTTCTTTGTATTTATTTGGAAGAAGAGATAAAGGCTCATAATGCTATGTCTGAGGGATACATTTGACAGACAATTTACTTCCTCTTTCATGCTCAGATAAAGAATAGAGATTTCAGAAGTCCCAATCAAGGTAAAAATGTTTTGTTCACTCTTTACTGACGAGACAAGTGCCAAAATCATCCAAACAGTCTGTACTTTATTCTCCACTGGATATGAGCCTCTCTGAGTCTGATGATAGCTTTTATTTCTTTTGCATCTCCTCAGGCATCTACATTACACCTCTATCCCTCTCTGTACTACGGACATCGAGATCCTAAGTGTATAATCAAAGTACTAATGTTTGCTGTGATGTTTTATGGGTAGTAGAGCAGGTACGCGTGTACGAAACTCAAAGACATGTATAGAATATAGGGCTGTGTGAAGTAAAACATCAACAGTGGGAACAGGGTTTCACTGAGAAAGCAACACTCACCTACGTTGCTGGTGCCGGATTCATTGATGTTAGAATCATCTGGAAGAAAGAAAGAAAAAGGAGAGAAAGAGCTGTTACTTGTTGTTGTGGTCGAATGCAAATATGTCACGTATCGGTAAACAGCTATACAGAGAATAACAATGTACCGGAGGCCACACGGAGCAGCTGTACATGCATTTCAGTACAGCTTATGAGATATGATGTTATGTATTACTATTTCTACCCTGGTCTGTGAGTGGTTTACAAGTGAGCGTCTGAATACGTTACAAGGCTCTTATGCACTTGAGGATTTCCAATGACAATGCAATCTGTGCAATATATTAGAAACACAGCTTGCTTCAAGATGGTAATAAATTGTTTTCATGTCAATTCTTGCAAGATGAATAGACAGCAACTACTGGCTTAAAGGTGTGATAGCTGTCTTAAAATGTGAAAAACAAAACAAGTTCATTTTAATCTACTGGCAGCAGTCAAAACTTATTCTTCACATTATTTATTTGCATTGAGCTTTATTATGTCTGTGGGGATTATTACATCTGTGGGGCTTACAAGGTGTTTTTATATTAAACTTGTACTGAGCCAAAACAAATTGAACCTTTAAGATGAAAAAAAAAAAAAGTCTCATGTTTTGCACTACATGACAAAACTAATTCTTCAAAGTATTTGTAACAGACTGTAATTTCATGGTACCTAGAGTTGGAGTCATTATTTAAGAATTCGGGTTACTCAGGTTACAAGTTCATAATAATTGTGAAACTTTTTTGAAGAAAAAAATAATAAATTGGTCATCGTGTAAAACTAGGAAGGCTGAAGAACAACAAATAAAATGTTGTTTTTGTACGACTGCATTGCATGCGCTAAGATAAGTCCCAGTGCCTTACACACACATTAGCTTGTCAACATGAACGGTACTTAACAGCCCCCCAATCCCTCGAAATCTGTTGCCATCCAAAAGAGTTACTTCAAAAGAACCAAACAAACGCGAGCGGGGAGCAAGATGGATGCAGAATTAATTAGCGTACCATCCCTGTAAGGCAGCCCCCTCTCCACCTCTGTACCAACAAGATTCCCCTCACTCCCCGAGCAGACCCCGCTGCCTCCGCCCATCGCACCAACCATCATCCAAAACAAAGCATGGGGTAAAAATAACAGCCCTCTCCAGGCACTCTGACGATGATGTAAACAAATACAACTGTTTAGGCAAGACAGAGGAGCCACTGGTGACCCAAAACGGCTTCTCTGTGTGGCATACAACAGCATGTCTGGGGTAGTTAGTCTGAATAAAGAGTTTACAATGTAACCGAGGTTTACAAATTACAGCATAGAGTACACAACGGATTTATTAATGAAAATTTATTGCATTTTAAAAAAAGCAGGTATACATTTGTCAATAGTTCACCTATTGTTTTTTCATTGGACCACCTTTATAAGGAAACATGTAGACAATGTAGAAAAAGATGCAGTTTTGGACACTAGCTTTGTCATGTAAGTCAGTAAGTTGGTCAGTAAGTTGGCTGTAGTGCAGTAAAGTGTATTTTTTATCAACTTTTATCGATTATTCACTTAACATAGGCCTATTTCAACACTCAATTAAAAATACATATATACTTATGAAATTTGCCCAAGAGCAATGTAGGGAGTTCAAAGCAATAGAATTAAAAGCTGGGACCATTTAAACGCAAATCTCACAGTGAAAACTCAAAACATGCAGTTATGAACACAAAATGAACCTAGAACACGATAATAGCATCAATCTTTAATGTGCTGTGCCTTATTGTGAAGTAATGAAACAACAACAGACTGAGACAGAATAAATTGACAGTAAACATGCACACATATTCACAGCCAGCAGAGGCACCGGCTTTAGAGTAATGCCATAAATTATGCAGCCCCATGAAATGATACAAGCGCGCATTAACACTTATCCACATAATCATGTTACGGATATTACAGCAAAATGTGAGATGCCTGGAAGGAGCCAACTCTACAAGATGTCTATTACATGTGAGATAGAAACATGATATCAGATGTTCTTAGTATTTGGTTTTGCTCCTTTTGTGTTCGCACATCAGATGTACCTCCCCGAGTGTGGCATGTGCCTGTTGGTTTATCTTTTACACCAGATGTCCTCCCTCACATAAATAATACACTGGCTTTAACAACAAAGTTAGAATATTCAAGAGCAATCACCAGTAAATAAACAGAAATTCTGTATCCTATAGTAAGTAATACAACATGGTTATCAAATTAGATTGTTAAATTGTTAAATCTGTGTATCATTTGTTAATTTGTTTTTCAAAATAAAACCAAAAAGTTTCTGTGACTTAAACTGCAATGCCGTACTTTTTCACCGCAAATGGACTGAACCAGGACTAAAACAGGACTACAACAGGACTAAACCAGGGCTAAACGTTGGGATGGGCCCAGAGGTGTGCCCGCATAGACTGTCGGGTGATCAGGACTGAGACCAGGACTCAGACTGTGACCAGACCGTGATCAGACCGAAACTGAGACCAGGACCAGACTGGGACTAGATCGAGACTGACACTGGGACTCACACCAGTTTAGTCCTTGTTCAGTCCTTGTTTTGTCCTGGTTTAGTCCTGGTTTAGTCTTGGTTTGGTCCTGATTTAGTCCTGGTTCAGTCTGTATGCGGCGCAAAAGTCCGGCATCGTAGTTTAACTCATCTAAACGGGAAACAGTTGTTATCCTTTTTTTTTCATTGTTCATTTAAACCCAAAATCGAAAACTGAAATAACAAAACATTGGTTTTGGAGACAAATAATGAAGAGAATAATTGTTTTTTCATTTTCTTATTTTTGATTTTATTTTGAAAAACAAATGAACGAATGACACACAGATTTTGTTAAATATGTTGATACTACAACCAATTTCCTCAGTGTTTTAAAGTTTTAGACATTTATGACTCCAAATAATAGAGTTAAAGGTCCTATATTACACAAAATTGACTCTTCTGAGCTTTAAGCCATGTTGTAATGTTGTTACCTCATCAAAAACATACCTGGAGTTGTGTTTTGTTTCATTCACACATGTTTAAATAACCCTGGTTTATTAGTCTGTCTACATCTCGAAAGCTCAAAATGCTCTATTCCACTTTGTCATGCCATGTGGTAGTTTGCATATTAAGAGCTAACTTTACCTTTAGTTCAGTAAAAATAGACAATTCCAGGCCTAAAATCGTCCAAATGATTCTAGAGAGGGTGTATGGAGCCCTTTAAACTAAAATATGAGTTGTAATTGAGTGTGGTGCTGGCCTATAAAGCCTGTAGGAAACACTTGTTCTTGGTCTAATTTGGCTCAAGGGTACTGCAGTATTGGGCTGATCACTTAGGAGCGGATGTGAAAACTTGAGGGGCAATAAACACATAAACAAGAGCAGAGGAAAGAGAGGGCTCGGCCAAGGTTCTTCTGAAGGAGACGAAGGTCCACTGGGGCCCGATAAGGAGAACACACTGGACTGAACCCACTCCTCAGCACAAACAGACGCTACATCAGGACTTCTATAAGACTATAAGACTAAGACCTACAGAGGGGCTTCAGTGTCCCCCAGCCCGCATTAAGACACAACACACCAGCACAGAGCAGCACTCTGCCATTCTGCTGAGAGATGGTTTGCTAATCATCTTCTTTAAAGCTATATGCAACTTTTCTGCTGGAGTGTCTGCCACCTGCTTGTCTCCATGGAGATCTTATTACTTTCCCTGAAATTTCCCACAGTGTGAGATTAAACTTCACCATGACAAGACAAGCAAGTGATGCCAGAAGTTTCAGATCAGATCTGTAGAGAGAGGAGTTGCTCACAGTAAGAATGCATGTTTTCAAGCTATTTTTGAGCAATACAACACCCCCTAATTGAAAAACTGCAGGATAGGTACGTTTAATGCCATAGTGTGGAACATTCCAGGTAGCGGAACAACATCTCCATGGAGACACGCAGGCAGTTGTCGGACCCCCAAACAGAAAAGTTAGTATACCTTTAAAGTGTGCAATGATTGATATTCATTTGGCAGAAGATGGCAGAACAGGCATTATTAAAAAAAAAAAAAAGAGAAACAAATAAAAAAAATAAAAATAAAAAAATCTAACTTTGAAGGCCAAAACAATGGCACGATTGTGTTCATGGACATATTTTTGCAATAGTTTTCTTGTTTTATTTTTTAATAGAAGTGTTTTCATTGTTATAATACAATTAGGTTGATGAGGCCACTGCAGGGTTGATTATTGTTTTCTGTCTTAATAGTGTTTTAAAAAAAAATGTCCCTGTTTTATTTTGCACCAGTTTTTTTTTCACAAAAACAACAAACAACTGAACCATCATTTAATGTGAATTTAGTGTGGGTTTTGGATCTAAACTAGTTACGTTGATACTTATTCCTGGCTGGGACTAAAGCTGCATTTCTGTATTTTTGTAGGAGATAGTGTGTCCTCCCTGTGGCACAGATCAGCTGAGAATCTAAGAGAAAGTCGATAGGTGAGTACATTTTGTGGCCCTGTAAATAAAAATATAATCTGTGTCAATAAGGTAAGCCGACCTCAATATATCCTTCACAAAACCACCACAAGTGAATTTGATCCTTTACTTTAAGTGGATATTTGAAGTATGAGAGAAAACTGCTTTTGTAAAGAGCTGGAGAAAATGAAATAGTATTAATAGTGTTAAAGGTGGTACAGGAGAGCACTTTAAGGAGCTGCAAACAAAGGGAGAGTTTTTCTTAGTATAATAGTTTTTTTTTTTTTTTTCTTTTTCAATGTCAACTGTTTCTAAAATGAGTCAGATGAGAGTAGTTTCCATTGAGCCGAATCCTTCAGTTTGTCTTAATTATATGTTGTGCACATAGCATGCTCTGATCTGGTATGCGGCCCCATGCACCTGAGAATTACAAGCATTATTTTGCATCACTAATCACCAAGTAGCAGAAAATTGCTGTCAGCGATAAGGAAGCAGAACTGGAAACAAACAGCCGAGCACACAGGGGACGCAATGAGGATTACGCAACACAGCCAAGAAAATACCACAA